CTTCCCGTGAATCTCTCAACTCATCTCTGATTTGGCAGAGATGAGTTAGTGAGATTGCCATAATGGTAAGCCACCACTGTCAACTGCCGCATGGTATTACCATCGCGAATACGTGAGCCGCCAACGGCAACTGGTAGATGGCACAGCCATCTCGATTGCGCGAGCCCCTACCAGAAATTCGTTGCGCCGCCCTTGGGGGCAAAAAACAGTGAAAGCTAACGTACGAAATCAGAGGGCAGCACACGGTGCGATCGCGCGACCCTGCCCGTGAGCAATCTCCCAACTCATCTCTGCATAAGAATGCGAGTAATTCGTAACCTTAAAAACGAAATATGTCAAACGTGCGTTTATCGGATGGAGTTTCTTAATACTCGTGACTAATTTTCCTATAAATTCGAGTGCAAGCACAACAAAAATGGCAGCAATTCTACGCGTGAAGCGACGAAATGACGACGAACCCTTAGATGCCCTAATAATTGCATGCAAACGTCGAAAAACAGAAATCGTTGATGAAGAGACTCTGGATTCTCCATTAACGGCAGTGGTGAAGTTTGCGGGAACTGTGAAACATCAGGTCAGAGATTTAAAGTAATTGGAACAGTATGTTTCATTTTTTATTTACTGATTTTTTTTTATCTCCAAAACTCATGTACACCAAACGTATTACGGTAATGAGAATAAATGGATTACATCTTATTACAGGAAGATAATGTCATTGAACATGTTGCTAAAACGCTGAGTACAAATGATCGAAAAGCAAATTACAAACAGCATATAGTGGATATTACAGGGAAGAATAGACATCGAACAAAACAAGACTCATTAGAAAATCGTTATAGAGTTATAAATTGCTTTCGTTCATTGGAGCAAAGCAAAATTGATCAACCCGATGAGACAGTAACCACTGTCATTGATGTCGAAGATTCCAGATCTTGTATGGCTCAGAATTCGAATGAAAAAGTACCGTTTTATTTTAGTAATTTTTATTTGTGTTCATACAAATCTTTTATAACGTTACGATACAATACATTTACTATGTATTTTTTTTTTTAGGAAAATGATTATGTCTATGATTTGTACTATACACAAACGGATGATGAGATGCTTTTAGATCATGTATTATCTATTCATCCTCTAGATCAGGAACTTGTCTTTGACACTTACAGAGAAAATGGAAAAAATTCTGAAAATGAATGCGAGTCGGAAGACTCTAACTCGGAATCTAACTGGAGGAACGATTATCCAGATTCAGATCATTCCGGAGATTCTGTAAATGATGATGATATGAGAAGAGCAGTGGAAAACATGAAATTGGAAGAAGAATCTGATCTATCTAGTGAGGAATTTGTGGATGCTGTGGATGAAGCAGATGTTGAAACATTCGGTTATAAATATGCAAAATATAAAGCACGAGTGAAAATTGAGTTTGGGGAGGATAGCGATAACGAGAGTGATCACAGCGATTACAGTGGCGTTTATATATCAGAAGAACCCGATGAAATAGATGAATAAATTTGTCAAGACTACAATGAAAACCAAGATCTCGTTATTGAATAACATTTAGAGTTAAAAGACCTTGCGTCAGGTGTTCAGTAGCACAAAAGCATTTAGTGTTCTGCTTATGAATTTTGCACCAAGAAGAGCATCTTATTGTATATATTATCTTTTTTAAATAAATTAATTTTCTGTTATTTAATATCTTGAACTCGTCATATAATGATAAATTCCATTCCAAAGGATAATGCACATTCAACCAACGGTGAGGGATATTCACAATAGGTCTTTTATTCATAGGTAATCGTATATTTATTACATATTTATAGAGAGATATATATATATACATATATATCTTGCGTGTAAAATTCGTCTATCAAAATAAAAACAATAAAAGTAAGCCTACGCGTCGAATCCTGCCGATTCGAAACGAAAACCTTCCTTGGAATCGCTAAGTCTGACTGTTTAAAGAAAGTTTTAAGTAGCGGGAGAATGAGTTCTTTTTCTTTCGATCGATTTTATACATTTCAAATAATCAATGATTGGCAACCAAGAATAAACCGATGGACATTCAAAGAAGACTCATCGAGAGAAATACTCTAAAATGGCTAAGAAAATAACGAGAAATTTAAAAAGACCGCGAGAACCTAATTTTGAACATTATTTTTGAGTCTTTTCCTAAAACGTATCCACCATGGAACTGTCGCGCATTTTAACGTGTGATATGAGTAGTACACTGCGTATACATGTAACACTGGCCTTAAGTCTAATTTATACACGTCCCTAACGTACGCGACCTCGCATCAATTCATTGTCGACTAACTACTTTAATTTTATATATAGGATTCGTATCTGATATTCCTCAGAGATCCCAAAATTGAAAAAAGCTACGAGGATCGAGCCCTAACGCGAGATGGAACCTGGTAGATCTAAGCGACGACTTAAAATGTCGAATCACAGTATTATCTCAGGCCATGAAAAACGAAGTAAAAATAAGTGGAAGCCTTTGGCTTTTACGCTTCTTTCGACTTTACAATCTCAAATAGAAGACTCCAAAAGAAATATCGAATGAAAGGCCCGTGTCGCGCACGTCGGTTCCTTTTTCATTTGCGCGCTCGCTCATGGATCTTCCGTCCAAATATACACGTGTACATATATGTATATCTATCCACATATTTGGACAAAAGATACATATGTATATATATATGTATAATATATTAAATGTTATATTGCAACGTAACTTAACAGATTCACAAGCTGAGATTGGTATCATTCAGGATCGTTACTTTATCGTACGTAATACTCTAAGCTCCTCTAATGTACAACATTATACACTCGCCTCGTTTTAGTTTCGCACCTGCCGTTTCGCACCTACCAATTATCGCCTAACGAGATTATTTCCGAGTCATGAGATTGCACACCCACGGGGGATCAATTCGAGAAGTGTTCGGCCACATTTCGACCCCCTTTTTCGCTTTTGAGCGCTTCGCGAAAAGCGGAACGATATCCTTGTCGACGGAATCCCTCCTAGGGAGGAATTTCTACTATGTACAAAACTTCGTGACTATTTCCGTAAAAGGAATAGCGCGTGCCATCGAGTGCTGCCTTTACACGTTTCTTCCTTTCTCGCGAATGAAGAAAAATTCTATACTCCGTATTAAGAGAGAAAAGTGACAGAGAGACGAAGAGAGAACGACGAGAAGAGAAGCAAAGTCGCACGAGAGGAGCCCTTATTCTAAGACTTTCAAGTTCGCTCTTTCGCGCCACTTTGCTCTTCTTATGTCCGATTTAACGTGATCCAGATCATTTCTAAATTTCCCCTGCGATTTTGGGGTATAACACATAGATTTAAATACCGTTTTTTTTTTTTCTAAAATATGCGACAAAATCGTTTGAGAGACAAAAAGGACCTGGAGAGCGTAAATCGAACTTTATGCCCATTAAGGTGAAGTGAAACACGTCGAGGAACTTGATCGACGTCGACAAAGAAGAATTTTCTAAATGCCTATGTTGCCGACGTTCGCTTTTATATTGACAGCTGGGTCGAATTATATTGCGTATTGTACCAAATGGCATATTCCATCTGTCGTTTTCGTCCAATAAATATCAAGAAATCGAAGTAAAACTCCAGAAATCCTCTGGATTCATGCTTTCTGGGGCCCTAATTGACTGCGGAGGGACCCCCTGCGCCATCTGTGATTTCTAGGTCAATTAAATTTTCACTCCGAGACCTCGTATTCCCATCGTTTTAGCATAGAAGCGCATACAACACTTTTTTTGCCTTTATCCCGTTCAAATGCGAATTTATCGATTACCAGAGTGTTCTAAATTGTCGTAAAATTGTCCTGACCCTTTCGTTTCTCGTATCAGAGCCTTCGATATGTGTATATTGATCGAAATATGAGAGATCGACGCCATTTTGGTTCTGGTCTGGGCTGAGTTAATAAATTTTTCTTAAAAAATCCAAATTTTGATGTGTCAGGACAATTCTTAGATGATCAGGAGTGATGTGTCAAAGTTTCGGACAGTTTGGTCTAATACCCTTAAAAAAAAGTGTTGTATTGGAATCGACTGATTTGAAGGGGGTTTCACTTCACCTTAATGCGCATGCTCGCGCAACACGTATCACCGTAAGGGAATATTTACACGGCGGAATTGTCTTTAACGCAAGTACAAACTATTATCTGAATGAACAAATAAACAAGATCACTTGGCGAGTTATCAACGTTACGCTGACACACGACGTTAGCATTTATATTAATATTGGAAACAAATAACAGTCCTATATCTCGGCGGGACCGACTGGTCATTGCAGTGACGTGCATACCATAGAGAGGATTGTATCAGCCAAAATGATAATACTATCGATACCATTGATATCATCACTGGAAAGTTTGATCAATCTATTGAGATAAGTTTTGTCTAAATTAGTTGACTTTGAGATATATCTTTTCTTGAAATTTGTTGTAAAATAAATTAAATACGTTACTGACCAATTGCAACTTGAATGAAATTTAAAAAGATTTCCAAGAATTAAAGATGTTAAGGTGATATGAAAGGGTTATTCTATATACATCAAACCTGAAAATATTTATAAAACTTATCTCCAAACTAGGTGCACCAAATAATTCGAAACTTCGCCATGTGATTAGAAAGACCCTAAGGAAGAACGTGATGCTTTTGAAATTTCATTTAAAAAAAAATTCTTTTTATTCAGCCTAAACTAGAACGATGACCACATTTTTTTGGCGGGGGAAAAATGAAATTTCACGAGCATCGCATTCTTTCTTACGGCCTCCATAATCTCGTGCCGAAGTATCAAATTATTTGATGCATTCAGTTTGGAAAAAAGTTTTATAAATATTTTCCGGTCTTACGTATATAGAATGACCCTTTCATATCACCTTATGGTGATATGAATGTGTCATATATACATACCAAAAAGTTAAAATATTTATAAAGCTTTTCTCCAAATCGGGTGAACCGAATCGTTTGAAACTTCATCACTTCAAAATCGAAACTTCATCTAAGGAAAAACGCGATGCTCGTGAAATTGCATTTTTCAACGAAAAATTTGTACTTATCTCAGAAAAGAACCATAAAAGTCATTTTTTATTTTTTGATGAAATTTCACGAGCATCGCGCTCTTCCCTAGGGCCTCCATAATCACGTGTAAAAATTACAGATAATTCGGTCACCCAGTTTGGAGAAAAGTTCTATAAATATTTTCATACATATATATAAAATTCCCCTTTTATATCACCTTAAGGTTCCGCGGCCTGAATTATTCCTTAAATTAGTGGTGGCTTCCGGGAATGAACCGCGTCTATTATCGCCAGGAGACCGACAATTCGCAAACGTTGCAGTTCGCTTCATCAGGTTAAACAGTGAAGAAACGTCAGCACACTGGCGACAATGGACTCGGGTCATTTCCAGAAGCCACCACAACTTTAAGGAACTATGAAGAATATTGCACAATCGAGATAAAAGAAAATAAAAGTCAATGTATTACGATATTAAATTTCTTACATTAAATCGCAGGCATGTTAATATTTTTAAAACGTCAAATTGTTTACTCTCTCTATGGTCATGAATTACTATTTCTTGTGAACGGATCACATACCCTTCAACAATTTTTATATCCGACATTTGTTCTTGTTTACAAGTCTTTCTCAATCATTGGATAACGTAAAACGCAAGCGCTATTAAAGATACTCCGTACATTCAAAAAGCCACCAAGTGTCATAAAAGTGAATAAAATTGATTCAAATACATCTCTAGGGGAAACTATTAAATTTATAGTTGGTTGTGAAACAAATCACTGTCTTTGGAGCAACTTCAGGGACACAACTTCCCCCTGCCCCCAAGGGCTTAGCAAAGCTGCATGTGGGCCCAGTTATTTGTTCCTTCTCGAAAATTTCCCGAAAATCTATTAAGCAGTATCTGACATCACAGAAGAAAATATTGACTTTTAATCAGTAAAATATTGATATAAAAAGGAATAAAATGTGAAATCGTTGAATGGTAAATGATCCCTTAATCATGTTCGACGCTGTTTCGCGAAAGACTTATCAAATCGACCAATGGGAAATAAAAGATTGTATACAATAGGATTTAGGTGACCCTGCCCCGAGCAGCGGCAGATCCTCGCATTCGACATGTCTTACTGAAAACCGGAAGCTTTCGGAATGTCAGTCTAAAGCACGGAAGCTTCCGGGCGGGTGCTGGGTGGTGTTGTGGGATGTCCACTATTGTTGTTGTTATTGTTGTTGCTCGCCTCGCCAGCGTGGCTGGAGCAATAGAACTTTTTGTGAGCGATGAATGTGCTGAGATAGTTGAAGCTGATGTCACAGGAGCGGCAATACCTAGGCCCGGATTTGGTAGGGTCGACGCTTTCTTCCGGCGGAGGAGTGTCTTCCCTTTCCTGCTTCACTTTGTTGACTACCGCAGGTGGAGGTGCCGGGGGTTGAGGGCTTTTCCTGATTTCCGGTTTGCCATTGACCTGAGCTTCCGCTGGGATTTCCTCGGGGGTCGTCGCGGGAGCGGGTTCCGGCGTCGGAACGGTCACATCGTCGTTTAGAACGCAGGTGATGTAATTCTCCTCCTGGAAGTGTAATGGCACTTACTATTTCTAGTTCTACTTAATGCCAAATGGAAGGTAGTTATCCCGGAAATATAGTACCTGCAGGTCGGTACCGCGTTTCTCGAAGTGCATTCTGATGTGAGTCCTCATGCCTCGTAGAGTGTTTCCTTTGTACTGACAGATCTTACACTTGAATGCCTTAACGCCCTGATGAGCATCCATGTGTCGTTGAGCTGCACCTGCAGTTGGACTAACCGCCCCGCAAACTGGACATTTCCATCCGCCGGTTGGACCGCTGGTACACGTGTGTGTCCCACCTGGCTCTATAATCGCCTAAAAATCAGAACAATTATATTGCCAATAATCGATGCTACATGTTTTATTTATGCGTTGGTATCACAAGTCGAGGGCAAAAGGTTGAAATTCTTTCGATACAACCCATTAAATACGAATAAAAAGACAAACAAAGGAACTTATCGCAGATTAAGACGGTGGTAAACTAAAGCACCATAAAATGTGTTATTTGGTTTAATTCGGACCTTGCATTTTGGACATCTGGAATGATGTTCTTGAGGATCTGGCCTCTTGAGACAATAATAAGCCTGGTGGGTCACCAAATTATCCATGGACGCGAATTTGATGCCACAGGCCACACAAATCAGCTGCACTAAGGGTGGTGACGGTGTTCCGGGAGGTGGCGAACTACTGACGGTACTCTCTCTCGCTTGACAATAGTGCTTTTTATGGGCCACAAAGTTCTCGTGTCTGCAGAACACGATGTTGCACTCCTTGCACCTGAAATCCACAGAAAATCAGTATCTCGTCTTTTTCGGTAATACTCTAAAGACACTTTCACATAAACTATAAATTTCTGGATGAAACGTGGATCCTTCCGATTCAATGAATTCTATTTATAATTAAATGTACGCGAAATGTGTATGCTTTCAACAGGGCCAAGCTTCATCGCGAATCCCACCTCGACATAAAGCCGAATTCGATAAACGACGGAGCCGTACCTGGAGACTCCTTGCTTGACGAGAACTCCCGGGGCCGCGGGGGGTGGCAGCTCCGCCAGTCTGAGAGCGAGTTCCGTGGGAGGTGGCGGGGGTAGGACGGCGTTGGTCTGCGAGGCTGGGATGGACCTAGCCCGAGGACTGGCACTACCCCTGGACCTCGGGCTTCCCGAGGGCGGGAGCGGCAGCGAACAGGGAGCAGGAGACACCCTGTTTTCTTTCTCGTCCTGACGAAGAGGCGACCTGCGGACGCTGAGGTCCAGGGGAGCTGTGGCGACGGAGGGCGAGGTGGCGGCGACCACGGGGGCCGGGGTCGCGGGCTTGTTCGCCGCCCTCAGGACGGTCGGGGGCTCGGGTGCAGACCCCGGGGCGGTGGCCAAGCCCCGCGTCATGGGCTGCAGCGAGCCGTTCGGCAGCAGGAAGCAGGGGGTGTCCGGGGCTGGCAGGGTGGGCGCGGCGAGCACGCTGGCCCCCCGAAACAGCGAGTAGGGCACGATCAAGATGGGAGTGGTCGGCAGAGCTAGACAAGTTTGCGGAGGCGGCGAATCCCCGGGGCTCGCACTCGCCGGGGGCGACGTCTTCACCGGGGCCGCAGGGGCGGCGGCCGTGGCCGCGACGGCGGCGTCCTTGACGACGTGCCTTGTGCTGCAGTAGTGGGTCTTGTGTGCTCGATACGTCTTCAGGGAGCTGAAGCGGATGTCGCAGTTGCGACAGTACCGCTCCGCTTCCTCGTTCAGACCCCCGTTAGCGGCGTTTCCATTCCCGCCCGCGTGCGGACTCGGCGACGGCGGGATCGGGGGCGGCACCGGAGATGCCGCGTGCATCCGCATGTGTCGGTTCAGCGAGACCTTCTTGTCGGCGCTGTAGGAACAGTGAGGGCAGGCATAAGCCTTGCGCGCCTCGAACTTTCCGCCCCCGGGCTTTTCGCCGACCTCGTCCTCGTCGTTGACGCTCTCCTCGTCGAGGCGCGGCCGGTGCGCACAGTAGTACGTTCGGTGCGCCTCCAGGGTGCTTGCCGAACTGTAGCGGATTCCGCACGGAGGGCAGATCAGCGGAGCTGGGCGGGACGGCTCCACCGTGATCGTCTCCTTGCCCTCCGTTGGTAGGACGAACAGGCGACCCGAGGCTATCGCTGCAAACATAATCGCGGTTTCCTTTATTTCTAACGATTCCACCCTCCGGGCAAAATAGAGTTCGCAACGTTTTTACAGTTCCTTAGAGAATTAGGGTATTTGTATACCGTTTTGCAATCCAGCGGGAAGCGGAGGTGTCGGGTTAGGCGGCGATAAGTTCTCGGGCTTGACCGTAAGGGCGGCGACAGTGGCGGGCCGGAGAGCGGGATCTGTCGCCAGACTAGCATTCAGTCTGAGCCGCGGAGTAGCTTCTTCGTCGAGTCTCATTTTCTTAGTCTCGAATGAGGAGTCCTCGGAGCGTCTCGAGTCCTCGGAGTCCCTTCTCGTCTCTTTCCTTCTCGTCCCGAAGGACGCTCTTCCGCGTTCCTCCTCTTTGATCGGAACGGCGCCCCCTCCTGGACCCGTGTCGTCGTCCGCATCGCTCTTGGGCCCCTTCGGGCTCGTTTCGGGGCCCTGGGAGGATCTCAAAGTTGCATGTCGCAGACCCCTTGCAACCTGCATCCCAAAAATCTCAGAATTAATCATCCCTTCGTTGATGAAGGGGGGAAACGATTAATTTGCACATCTTCGTGCGACTACGAAAAGTAATTTTGTGTCAATCTTATGTTTCTTTCCTTTCAAAAGTAATCGGGATAAGAAAGAACCATTTGTATATTAATTTTTCATAACTAAATACGGATCTGGCCGTTCAGAAATAACCTTATTGGTTCAGATATTCGCGAATCGAAGGACTTAGCGCCTTGAGTTCGTCTCGAATAATGAGAAACAACTATGTCGGCAAACGGATCTTCAATTTTAAAATTGTTCGAACCAACTTTTCAATTCGGACTATGAGTTTAGGATATTTCATATCCCTCGAGAAACCGTGGCGCCATTATCGCGATTATGTCACACTAGGGTGAAGGCAACGTTTGTTTAAATACCCGACAATGTTTTATCTTAATGACATGTATGTCATGCGATGTGCCGCTAAACCCTTTCTTCGACGGTCGCTAGCCTTCATTTACATGTATACGATATGACCGTAATGACGGTTGTGATGACAGCTGCAGTGAGGTCTGTCAACCTCAATGCTAACAGATCCCGTAGCACAAAAATAACAATTCAGAATCTCGCCGTATGCTCAATATTTCTACATTTCCAACACTTTAGCATTTTTAATCAACTTCTACATCAAAATTGAAGCCAACAATTGACACTTCGGCTCGAGGGATCAACGATGAAACGGTGAGACCAAAAATTGAAATAAAATCTGTTCGTAGTCAATAATCGGGAAAGGGCGAGCATCATGGAGAGATATCGTCCTGAGATATCTTGTATAAAATTTTGTCACAGGTTACTCATTGCGTGAAATGAACATCTAGTGATGATAAATCTCTTTGCAGACCCGTGTACCGACCGCGCTACTGTAGGAAGGTTGTCGCGAGCTTAAATTCGCAGCCGCCAGAGAGCGCCACCATGAGCGGCGCTCCGAACTCGGCGCGAGTTACGACTTTGCCTCGCACGAGTCATCGCAATAAATCGTACCGTCCGTCAAAGCGAACGAAATTCATTCGCTTCGGCAGATTAATTAATATACCAAAGAGGAAGAAAACCGACGGGCTCACCTCGATGTCCTCGGTGAGTATGGCCAGCCTTTTGCGGGCGTCCTCGGAGAGGACGCTGAGCCTCAGCCGGATGTCCTCGGCGGCAGAGGTCGGAGCCGCGACGCCCGCGAGTCGCGGGGGCGGGGGCAGGCTCGGCTCCTCCTCGGCGGCGGGGGCGGCGGGGCTCGAGACCGCGGATCCCCCGCCCTCCACCCCGCTGCTCACCGAGGGCGTCTTCTCCGAGTCGCTCCATTCCTCATCCTCCCCTGAAACAGAAAGATATCAATTATTACCTGCCTCCGAATACACAACTGGGGTACGAATGCAAAAAGTGAACAAAATTAATGGAAGTCAAAGTACAAAAGTTTCGCGCAGGGAAAAGAAAAAAAACTCGGATACTCGATTATCGCAAATAGCAATTTATATTCTTTGTCGTTTTGGAATCGAAGGCTCAACGTTCCCCTACATTTGACTCCAACGGAGACCCACGCGAAGTGGACGGTATCTCGAGAGACGACCATATCAAGATACGGAGTGCCGAGTGGTAAAAGTCGCGACGGTTGGACGAAAATAGAAACGCGCAACGACGGAACGCCCAAGCGATGCGTCGCGGCGGCCGTCCGCGTCCGTAATGGTACGCGACGCCGGTCTGTGCGTACCCTACATTTCCCTCTCTCTCGGTCTGTCCTTTTCCCTCGCTCGGTCCGGGCCTTCGCCCCTCTCGCTCCTCCTTTCTCTTTCCCTATCGGTCCATCTATCTCTCCCCGTCCCCACTACACGAGTTTCCCCTCTCGCGCCGTTCTCCCCACCCGTGCTGCACCTCCACCCCTCGTTCTATGCGTTTCAAGTTCGTGCTCTAAGGGTAAAGCCCTGCGACCCTGTCGGGGGTTGATCGACCTGTACTCTCTGGACAAACTTCGAAACTTCTTGGTTTCTCTTCGGAGAAAAGTTCCTACTTGATCCACTTCCTCGCATTTTTTAAGGGGACGCGAAACAATCTTTCCCAGGTAATTCCTCCAACGCTTCTTCTTGTTCTCCGAGGCCACCGCGATGAAGCAAGAAAAAGCTATCGTTGAATTCGACCAGATTTAAAATAATCCTTTTAGAACCCTTCGTCGGTATTTCCCATCTTGGCTTTCATGTGCATTTTGCATGCATATGTACCGGTTATGCGAGTGCCTTTGAATTTCTTTATTTTCTCTCGAAAAACAATTTGTTGATTCATATCTGCGAGATCTAACGGAACGAACTGCAATATTTGCAACGCTAACAACAATGTACGGGATTCCACGTCGAAAAACAGTTAGGACGAGGAGCAACCAAGGAAAGCTCTAAATTGATATTGAATTCTTGAAAATGTTGAAAGGAAAATGGTTCGGCTTGATCAGGGAACACCTCGACATCCCTTTGTCGGGTGGTCTTCGTTGCGATAGTTTGATACCCGGGACCGGTACCAAATAGATCGGTCTCGAGCAATCGTACACCTCGAAGTAGGAGTCCGTCGAGGAAAAAGCCTATCCTGGGATGCAGTGCCGGCCACCTGGCCGATCGTTCGGCCTCGAATTACCCGGATACCTTAATTGCCTCCTCGGGCGAGGTTTCGAGGATGCAGATCTCGGCGAGCAGATTGGGCTTTGCTGCTCTTCTTCTAGACTATCGCGAGGCTCGCATCTACGTGGTACGCGGTGGAACCGTGTACCGGTCTCTGCAAATAAGCGGTCATCGATGGATCGTGCCCAGTCGATGCAATGGCGTTCGACCATTCTTAATTGCTCCCTGACCACTGCCAACGATCACCGCTGACACGAGATAATAAAGTTGCGTCCCTGCCTCTGTCTGTTTTAGACAATTTTGGAAAGAGCACCCTTTTTCTCGCATTTAATCGCGATTTAGGTGAATTGAAACCTCCCTCGAATCAGTCGATACGAATAAGACACTTTTTATCAAGGGTATTGGATTGAACCATTCTTAACCAGTTAACTGTGATTGACGAGTATACTCGTCATGGAGAAGTGGCACGATTTTGTGTATCGACGAGTATACTCGTCATGCGTATAAAGTAAGGACCATTGGCTATTTAAATTTTAATTTTTGAGAAAAACAAAACATATTCACAAATTTCAAGATGTTTAGAATATTTTGAGGCCAGGCCGGAATGAAACAAACGAATAAAAAATATAAATGATTTGAGATAAACTCGTGCGCCCCGTATGCACCGGCTGAAACAGCTTGCCATCTATTAGATATTATTTGTTTGAATTCATATATATTATACAAAAAAAATAATGGAACGTTATCGCGAATGAATTTTTTGCTAGAATTTGTTGAGGACACTGTTGCATCGTATCCAATAACCCGGGAAAAATCGACAAACTCGGCCATCTAGGCCCAATGTAACACAATTACTCGGGAATCATGTTCTGGATCATATACCCAGAACTTCGAACACAAAAAATCCTACCCGAAGGTGTGCACGTTGTTATAAACGCAAGATCAGGAAAGAATCCCGTTACTGGTGTTCCATTTGCAAAGTCCCGAAGACAACGTAGGTATTTAGGTAAACCTTTTTTACCAACGTCGATCAAGTTCCTTAACGTGTTTCCCTTCACCTTAAGTAGTGAAGTTATATCGATGTATAAACAATAAAGTATAATACATAACGTTTAACAATGCGAGATCATGTTTTGGATTTCCTAAGTGCGAAAAAGGCTACGTTTTCACTAAATCACGGAATACAATATATTCCGCGAAATTTGGAGTCATCATTGTCACAAATAAATTCTAAGAATAATTCACGGTGGAGTCTGCACGTGGATTAGAATTGCGAATTTTCCAATAGGAGAGATCGGGGACAATTGTAACAATTTGGAGTAGAGTATCTTTTTATACTTTGGTCAAAAATATTCAAGCAAGAAAATATACCTAAGTGCTGTAGTTGTAACTGCAGCAATAAGATTTACTCACTTATCTGCATTTACGTTAGAAGTATATAAAAAAAAATTATTCAAGTTTGAGTTGATAGGTTAAGAGGGAGATTTATAATAAAAGCTGAAATAATAAAAATAATATAATTTTTTAATACAAAACAATAAACTTATATCCTACTAATACCTCACATAGAAACTAATATGAAGAAATTCATAGAAAAGGAAGCGGTAACTTATCTATTCTGAGTCTTTGCTGTGCATGCAGTCAAAATATAAATTCCTTAATTTATGGGTACACGTTTCATGAACCCATCGTTTGAGCCGAGGCACGTTGTGCATGTGCGCACCCATGTGAATATTGTTATCAGCCTTTTATATAAATATTTGACTTTCTTATAACCGATTTTACAATTGTACCACATTTGATATTCCATTATCGTTTTCAAACACAAGTTCTAACCTCGAAATTGGTATACGTAATTGAAGTCGTTTCGAAGCTTTACATTACGCACAAAGTGACTTACAAACCTACACGCCTAAATGTTACTAGAAAACGAATAAAAAATTATTACTCTACTAATACATCTCAGAAATAGAAAGGTGATAACTCTTCCCATACCATCTCGAATTAATTGGTCATCTTTTGAGGAATCGTGTGGAGCACCTTCAGTAAATAGTGTCGTCAGCTTTTTATATGAATATCTGACATACTCGTACTCAATGTTACAAAGGTACAGCAGTAAAAATGTCCCCGATCTCCCCTAGAGGGGCACAAGATTAGCTCCTCCGCGTTCAAATATGTATCCGCACCTTCATGTCCGTCCTTCCCGAGGTCTCGAGGTCTCCTAACCCATCCGCATCCTCGAGTGGTATCTGTTCGAGTCCCTACGAGACTCGTGCATCCTCTCTCAGTAAATAAGCAGTCATCGATGGATCGGTCTCCCGAGTGAGTCCAGGTTGGTCGAGGCCATTCTTAATTGCGCGTGCATGCAACGCTCCCGATCGGGGGTGCTGTTTCTCTGCCCCACCGGTCCCTCTGCCCCTGCCGCCCCTCTGGCACTCTGCCTCCACCTCCGCCATAGGGTGCAATATATCTCAAAGGGGGGAACACGGCCGCCATTAACATATCCGCGGCCTGATAAGCCTTTCTCGGAACCGATACCGCGCCCGGTACCCTCGCCGCTTTATATAAGAACCACCGTGCACCCGCAAAGAGTCGGCCCTGCACTTTCGTCGATTTTTCCATTGTTACCCCGACCCGCGTTCGTGGGGTTGTTGGCGAAGGTTGACCACCCCGCCACCTTCTAAGGTCGATGATATAGAACTTTTAAGATCGCTCGTAGGCTACGTCTGCCTGGAAAGGAATCAATGAACGTACCCTACAAAAAGTTTGATATAATAATAAATGATGGGTATGCGATGCGATGCACGAGAAAGCCATAATAAATTGCATAAAAACTGCTAACAATCTTAAAGGAAATTGTAAATTAATCCGAGTCCATCGAAATTTTTGTTGAATCGTTAGGAAGAAAGTTCGAGTATCGATGGGCATTAGATCACGAAAAGATCTTGGGAGTAATGGCTGCCGATACCGTGAATCGTGACACATCGAGAGGATGAGTCAATGAGGATGCGGTGTCACCAGGAAAAAGAAGATTTCAACCGGGAGGGAAAGGGGAGGACAAATAAACGATGAGCGCTCATGTAGGTGTTCGAGATGAGCAAACAAATTAGGCAGACAGAAAAGAAGCAAAACAGCGAAGACGTCTCCCAGGAGAGGACTCGTTTCGGAAACGGATGGACCATCACGGACGCCCTCGAACACGTTTTAAGCCCGTCAGCTGGCAATGGACGAGCCTGGTACCGCGAAAACCTGTCTCGCGCGATCTCGTTATCTCGGAATAATCGTATTCCTGACATTAAAAATGGACGATTGGCCGTTTTCGATGGGGAACTTCTTTTGACGAAGTCCAAGGGTCTCGAGATGTTCTTTGGCACCAGCGGACGGCTCGTCGGGCGGAAAGAATTTAAGTTCATCGGCGCTCGCGGATGCCGATGATCCAGGAAAGCGCCCTTGGCGGAATAAATAACTTCACCGGTTAAAAGGAGGAACCAAACGGTTTTTCCAAACGTAACTCGGAACTCTAAAGAGAAAATGAAAGAAACCGCTGGTCTCCGTTCTTCGAGTGATAAGAAAGTCCGAAAATCTTGGACTGGTCATCCGTAGAGTCGTTACTCCACCGATGATAAAACGTTGCGCGGAAAGAAAAAGAGTCCACCCACCGGTAGCAAGAATTTGATAAATGGGGGTAAATCTCGAGTCAGCTCGGAAGTATCGA